GCTTCCTTCATAAAGGCTTTCAGCCGAAACGTTGGGATTTTTTAAAATTTGGTATTTCTCTCTCACATGGTATTTGGTATTTTCTTCACCAATAAGTATTTTGTGCATATAGTGACTGTGTGGTATATAGTCTGATAGTCTGTTATGTACCGTATATACTCATCTATAACTCAATCTCGTCTATAAGTCGAGTGGAGTTTTTTGACCAACAATTGTGAAATATGCTATGACTCGTGGATAAGTCGAGAGTAAAGTTTGGAGTTAGGAAATTATGTTATTTTAATAATTTTGTCAGATTTTACCTAGGGATAGAGCGTGGAACAATCAAACCGCTAAAAACTGGATTAAAAAATTAGCAATAATGAACAGGAACATTTCATTTATTAACTGTAACAAATCCCTTAAATTTATTACAGGGAATTCTTATTCATGTCCTCCAAAATAGCACAAACATTGTTCGGCCTATTCGAATCCATCAAACTCCAACTTGTCATTGTCAGAATGTGCGTATAAATCATGACACTGTTTTTCGGTGATGCCATCAGCATAAATGTCGTCTTTGCCCTTGCCATCTGTTGAATCGGTATATGAAGCTGATTCGTCTTTCTCTTAAGCGAAGCAGTGTAAGAAGCTCTCGTTTTCTTTTCAAAACTCATTTTTCTGTAGATAAGAATTTAATTATTATTCCGTTTTCTATTAATGTAATCTTAATAATCATTAGACAACAAACAAGAGTCAACTGGGGAAGAGAGACAGGGGCTGAGTAAGGGGACATGGGCTGAGTGAGGGGGACAGGGGTTGAGTGAGGGGGACAGGGGCTGGGGAAGAGGGACAGGGGCTGGGGAAGAGGGACAGGGGCTGAGTAAGGGGACAGGTGCTGGGGGAGAGGGACAGGGGCCAAGGAAGAGGGACATGGGCTGAGTAAAGGGACAGGGGCTGAGTAGGAGGACAGGGGTTGAGTAGGTGCTTGTAGTAGGCGATAGCAAGTGACATGCCCTTACTGTGGCCTATCCTCACCCGATGATAGAGGCTGATTGACTCAGCAGTCAGCAATGATGCATGTGGCTTAGTGTCAGATTTCAGTCAAGCATCAACAGACTGCTGTTGTCCGTGTGTGTTCCCGGTATCTGGGTCAATGTACAGCTAAGTACACTAGCACTACCGATAACTCGACATTGCCTCGCATTCAATGTGCAAAATTCTATCGAAACTAGCACTGATCCGTGGATAAGTGGACTCTGCGTTTTAAAATGACATTTACGACTATAATTTCTCGACTTATACATGAGTATATACAGTAATGTAGATGTATACATAGCTATTATGTACATGTTTATATTTATTTAATAAAGCTTGTTTTATTTTATTTTTATTGATTGTGCTTCTCATTCATTTTCTAATGGGAAAACCAGCCCTGAGTGTTGAGTTGTACAGTGGAATGATGGGACATGTCACAGTACCCTTTGCCAGGGCCCAAAAAGGGAGAAGCAGATTAAAGCTCTGTGCCAATTCCTCATTCTTTATCCCCAGCAAGAGGAACCATTGTTCCAAAACATCTTATGACAAAATGACCTCCCACTACAATGACTGTTGTTGGCACCATTTGTACCTGATCCCTGAGGATCTGCTTTAAAAAAAAAAAAAAATTCTTTATTTTTGATGTGCAAATCTTAACAAGGATATTGTCCCATCCACAGAGCAGTTCTCAATCGTAAAAGACATATCCATCAAATAACACGTATGCAGAGACAGCACGTTTAAATAATAGTAATAGACAAGAATTTCACACTGCTAGATGAGTTTAACAAGAGAAGCACGAAAAAAACCATCTGACTTTGGGTCTATGCTCTTGACTTGTTTTTGATAGCGAAAACCTGATTTGGAATGGACCAATAATTATACTGCAAATTAGATACATATTATATATTATGTGCATGTTTGCAATATAATTTTTTTTGTTTGTTTTGTTTTTTTACAGCTCACCTTTTTTTTTTGTTCACTTCTCACTTGATCTGTAAATAAAAAAACAAACAAAACCATTTTAGTTTAATTTTTTTGTTGTTATTATTTTTCATTTTGTGCTACAGGCATAATTCAGAATGATGAATCTAAATGAACATGTACACCCATTGCGTGGCTTGTTTGTACATTTCCGCTCGGCTTTCAGGAATTTGACCCATTGTCCCAAACATAGCTGAATTGCACTTAAGATTAAAATGAATCTCCAAGTCTACTATTCTCTAAACACCCGCTTCAGAAAAACCTTTAGCAAGGGGTCTCACCACTAAACACTTTCTATTCATATACCACTTTCCTCCTACTGGAATTGATTTAATAATAATAAAAAACAAAACAAATGTAATGTTCAATTCTAGAAAACGCAGTCAGTCCCTCTTTATGAATCAGACCCCTCTCCTGTTACTTTTTTCTTCATGTTCCTATATTCTCTAATACCTCATAACTGTTGGTGTGAACTGGCTTATTAACAGATTTTTACACAAAGAATTATTAACTAAAGTGTGAATTGTTGCTAATTCAAAGTGAATTTGAAATATTTGGCCAAAATAGATTAAACAGGAATACGTTATTTCGTTATATAGCCCAAGATAACATATTATTTTGGCCTAAAATGTTAATTTTTGTTTAAAAGTCCTAATAATTCACACTTACGTTATCCAAATATGTGCAGGAAATCACAAACTGCCAAACTTCGAGATGATGACGATGAAGGTGTTAATTCCGACATAAAAGCTGATGATGAATGTGCTCTGTTATTTCAATGTATAATACATTTTTATATTCTTTAGTAGCTATGCAATATATGCTTTATAGTATACAGAGTTTATACCATAGGTGGTCTTCCCAAAGATGAAGAACTACATTAAATGCTATTGCCATTAAATCTTGCAAAGCAGAAGGGTTTTTCTACAACATCTGGGAATTTACCGTCAGTTCTTCCATGGTACAGACATGCCCCCAAATCTACCTTTTATATTAAATCAGAACCACGGAGCATCGAGATTTATCCAAAATGTCTCTGAATTATCTTTTTTATGTTTTGGTTGTCCTTTTTTCTTTTTTAACTCACATTTTCCTAGAAGTATTTATAGTTTCAATTTCTCTTGCAGATCTCTAAAATAGTTTTTAAACTGGATCCACATGGTTCTCGAGAAGTCCCTGGCATGTTTCCTTTTATGTCAATGACTGCTGACTTATGACTGCAGAGCATCATGGGAGTGGCTAAATGTCAGAAATTAGCCATCACTGTCTGTAGTGATTCACTGATTCGTACAGACGCACGCTGCATGGGGCTATATTCATCACACATGGAGAAAGGTATGACAAGCTTAGAACAATTGCACACACATGTGGATGGATAATATGTAATAGAGACTTCAAGGAAACCATTTAGTGCAATTCTAGCAGGACATTTGAAAGTGAATATTCACTGAATAGTTGACAAGTATAATTAAAAAAAATCAAATCATCTAAGATGGGTTAGATATTCCGTTTATCTACTTTACTAAAAAAAATGTAAAAGAAGCAAATAGAAAGCTACTTTGTGTTTGTGTTTTCTTTAGCATATAAACCTTGGACGTTGAGCAGATTACGTCCAAAACTTCAGCATTAATTTAGTAGTGTTTTAGTCTATAAGGTGTTTTACACCCCACCTCCTATAGACTAGACTCTAACTTGTTTGAGCAGGGTCCTCTTTAACCTATCGTTCCTGTAAGTTTTCTTCTAATTGTCCTATTTATACTTAAATCCCCCCTCTCATAATATTGTAAAGTGCTACGGAATCTGTTGGCACTATATAAATGGCGATATTAATAATAAGGGCACACTGACAGCTTTTCTTTTTAAGGTGAGCTTACAAAATCAATCCCACAGTTTCGGCAGTGATAATGTGACAGGAAAATAATCTTTTTAGTAGTCACTTACATTTTTTCCTCTTCATCCGTTATCTGATGATTTGACTGTTGCTTTGAAACCACAATTTTTCATTCCAGAGCAATTTAACAATAGAGACAGTTACATCTTTTAGAAAAACATGGGCCCCAATGGCAACTGTTCTTTTTCCTCCTTTTAATAAAAAAGAGCAGTTTTATTAAAATCTGGAGAACATGTTTTGTGTCTTTGCCAACGTTTCCTTGTGACACAGTCTTATCACTTTGAAGTTTAACAGACTACAAAGTAACGTGTAACCTCCCTGTTAGATTGTTTAACTTCTAGTGCACCGGGCAATTCTATTGGTTGAATTCTATGAAAGTAAGTTTACAATAATTTTACATAAGTCAGGTACATAATTAGATATATGAATAATAAAAGTGTACTCATAATAAATATTCTATGATGAGTCCTGTAATATACCCAGTGTAACGGTACTCCGACTGACTACCCTCTGTTGATGGATGCTCCTAGCGCTTCCTGAGGACTCCAAGCAGTGCAGCAGACACCACAACCACCGCAGACTCCACAACCACTGTATCTTGACTGGAGTCTCGCCATCTTCCTTCCACCCTGGATCAACTTCTGTCCTCCAGGACTGTGTAGGAAAGAACTCTTCCTTCCACCCTGTATGAACCTCCAGCCTCCAGGACTGTGTGGTGAAGACCCCTCCTCCAAGGAGAACATGTCAGGAACAAGCTCTTAAAAGAGCTAAATGATTCAAGCTCAGGGGAGCATTCAGAGCATAGCAATCCCCAGTGTGATTATAACAGCTCTCTCCAATAACGAGACAAGGCTACATTTAGAGGGATCAAGAAGAACTGTCTAAACCTTTATTTCCCTTGGGACCAGCCCATATGGTCACCACATTAACATTGCTGTGAAAACTCAATAAAATCACAAACAGTCAAACCATAGCAGGCAACACACAGTGACTTATCACAACACAATGGCACATTTTTAAAGGGGTGGGGGAGACAATATTTAACAGAAAATATCTCACGTGTCTGCAGAATTAGCAATTTGCAAAGCTACCCGAATATGCAAATGACCAGTCTTGCTATTCAGGTAGTGCATATTGCTGTTGCTACCAACAGAGGGCACTAGACAAGCTCCATAGCCAAACCCACCTAGTTGGTAGCAAACCTCAGCAGTACAAGAGAGCAGGCAATACATTACACAGTACACACACACACACACACACACACTATAAACAATTACATTACACACACCCTGCACCTATAATGGGCACAGGGTGACTAAAACATAAGATAAATAAAGCAGCCTACATAAATAGTCTGTCTGAAGGTAGACTAGGGGCTTTAAAGCCAAATACATGAAAGAGTCATAGTCACAGGACTGGCAAGTAGGCCTCTCCAGGACCAAGTGGCGAAGGGCACTTCGTCACACACAGTTCCTTGTTGTGTTGGTTCAGATGATGGAAAACAAAATCTCTGCTCAGGGCAAGTATGAATATAAAGGAAGACACTCCCTTTCAGACACCCATCAATAAATGTAATAGTCTTCCATATGTTCTGCTTCTGACTTTCCCTGCACTATCTATTCCCATTTCCCATTTATTTTGATACAGATCACAATACGAACTCCTTTCACCTGAAGATCCTGATGCTACCAACTTCCTTTCCCATGAAAAACGTGGGATTCCTGTCTTCCCTGCCTTATTTTCCCCAAAAACCCTGGTGATGCCTCCTGTATTTATTTCGGACACCCCAATTCTGTTTCCCTTCTCCTGCAACCTTGTTGATGCTTCATTATCCTTGGCAGACCATTATGTTGTGTTTTTGTGGCTGTATATTGCATGGTTTGTATGGAAATATTGGATATTTAATTAATTTGTACAGCTGGGAAGACTGTGGTACACCAGCAGATTCCATGCACTGTTGTACCAAGCAGGGGCGTACCTAGAGCATTTGGCACCCGGGGCGGATCCTGTGCTTGGCACCCCCTCGCTCCGCCCCCCCACAAAAAAAACAAACCTGTAAATTTTTTTAAATGTGTTCTTTTTTTTTACAGTTTGTAAACTTTGCAAAACCGCTGTCAGCCCCTCCTACAAAGCCCTTGTCCTTCCCCGCCCCCTCCTTTAAAACCCCTGTCCTGCCCACTTCTACAAATCCTGTGCTGCCCCATCTACAAAACCCCCGCAACCCCTTCCACAAATCCCCTGCTTATGCCCCCTTATAAAGACTCCTGTCCCAATACAAAACCCCTGCCCCCTTTTACAAAATCCCTGCAGACCCACACACACATTTATAGGCAGACAGTCACACACACAGTTACAGGCATACAGTCACAGGCACACAGTCACATGCAGACAGTCATGCACACAGTTACAGGCAGACAGTCACATTTACATTGACACACACGGCAGCAGCACACAGTCACAGATAATCACGCACACATTTACAGGCAATATCAAACAGTCACAGGCAGACAGTCACACATACATAGTCACATGCAGTCACACACACAGTTATAGGCAGACAGTTACACACACAGTCCGTTACATGTAGTCACACACAGTCATAGCTAGACAGTCACGCACACAGTTACAGACAGACAGTCACATATACAGTCACTCACACACAGTCACAGGCAGAGAGTTGCACACACACTTACAGTTACAGACACACAGTCACATGCAGACAGTCACACATACAGTCACAGACAGTCATGCACACAGTTACAGGCAGACAGTAACATACACATTGACACACACACGACAGCAGCAGACAGTCACAGGCAGACAGTCACACATACATAGTCACATGCAGTCACACACACAGTTATAAGCAGACAGTTACACACACAGTCAGTTACAGGTAGTCACACACAGTCATAGCCAGACAGTCAAACACACAGTTACAGACAGTCACATATACAGTCACTCACACACAGTCACAGGCAGAGAGTTACACACACACACATACACACAAAGTTACAGGCAGACAGTCTCACACACACACATACATACACACACACACACAGTTACAGACAGTTTTACACACACACACACACATACATATACACACACACAGTTGCAGACAGTTTTATACACACACACAGTTACAGACAGTTTTACACTGTCACACATTATTACTTACAGACAGTGGGCTGGAGGAGGACTGGATTCCCTGAAGCCTGTGGAGAGGCAGGGATTCCATCTTGCTGCACCTCCATGTGCAGCAGTGACAGCAGTAACCGGTAAGAGCCATATCAAGCCCCACCCCCACTGCCGGTTTGGCTCCGCCCCGTTTTCATTAGCTTCGCCCCCAATTACCTCCGTGCGGCCAGTTCAGCTTCTCTTAGTGTGTGAGCTGTTCTGGCTGCATGGCACCCTAACTGCCATGGGGCCCTGTGCGGCCACAGCTCACACATCCCCCGCCAGCTCCCACACCAGGGTCATGGCACCCCCCACCCTAGAGGCACCCGGGGCGGACCGCCCCCTCCGCCCCCCCCTTAGTCCGCCACTGGTACCAAGTGCTTGTCATGATGATGGTCAACTTCCAATATTCCATCCAATATCGAGGAGAAAGCATGGTTAGGGGTACGGATGTTTTTGCCATTGTCTCTAGATCAGGGAAGGTTGTAGAATGAAAATATTTATAATACAATATGGAACCTCATTGCTAACTTTCTTGATATTGTAATTGTTGGCGTTGTTTCTTATGGTGATGTTTGAAAAACCTCTATACTTACTGTAAATATTTCTGGTGTTTGCTGGTGACTTGTTTTTGGTGTCTCCATAAGTGAGGTACAAGGCTGGAGGCTGCCTGCTGTGTGGACGTGGAGGCTGCCTGTCTTGTTTATGTGGGGGCTGACTGTGGTGTGTATGTGGAGGCTGCCTGTTGTGTTTGCATGGAGCCAGCCTGTGGTGTGTACATGGAGGCTGCCTATGGTGTGTACGTGGAGGCTGCCTGTAGTGTGTACGTGGCAGGGCCGAACTGGCCCACCGGGATACTGGGAAATTTCCCGGTGGGCCGTCGGCACCTGGGGCCGGGCAGACACCTGGGTCTGCTGGCGACCGCTGGGGGACTTGTACTGGCGGCCCCTGGTCATATTCCGGCCCCGGTCTCATTCAGCAGCGCGTGAGGGCGGGAGAGCAGAGCCAACACAGCTCCCCCAGCGGCCGCCAGTACAAGTCCCCCAGCGGCCGCCAGAAGACCTCCCCCAGCGGCCGCCAGCAGACCACCCCTGGCAGGTATTAGTAATGTGTATCAGTGTGAGTTTGTCTGTCTGTTGTGGTGTGTGTGTCTGTCTGTGTCATGGTGTCTGTCTGAATGGTGTGTGTGTGTGTCTGTATGGTGTGTGTGTGTGTGTCTGTATGGTGTGTGTGCGTCTGTCTGTCCGTCATGGGGTGTGTGTCTGTGTCTGTGTCTGTCTGTCATGGTGTGTGTCATGGTCTGTCTGTGTCATGGTCTGTCATGGTGTGTGTGTGTGTCTGTCATGGTGTGTGTATCTGTCATGGTATATGTGTGTTTCTGTGTCTGTCATGGTGTATATGTGTGTTTAAAAATAGTGTTTTTGTTCACCTTTATTTTCCCCACGCAGCGTGCTCGTCTCCCCTCAACTGGCCCTGCCTCTATAGCTGAGATCATCAAGCTTGATGATTTCAGCCAATCCAATGCTTTACCATAGGATTGGCTTCAAAACGCCACTCTCCAATCAGCATCTCCTCATAGAGATGCATTGAATCAATGTATCTCTATGGCGAACGTTCAGCACCTACAGAGTGTGGAGGCCCTGAATGTAGGTGCACTGACACAGGAAGCACCTCTAGTGACCGTCTGAGTGACTGTCACTAGCAGTGTCACTTTGAAGCAATGTAAATACTGCCTTTTCTCTGAAAAGTCAGTGTTTACGTTGAAAAGCCTGTAGGGACATGCTATAGACACCAGTACCACCACATTAAGCTGTGTGTGTGAGTCTGCTAGTGAGTGAGCTTGCTTGCATGCGTGTGCCTGCTAGTGAGTGAGCTTGTGTTTTTATGTCAATAAGCTGATGTATATCACTGAGATTGTTTGTCTACGAGGCTGTGTATCAATGAGCTTGTGTGTGTCATTGAGATGTCAGTGAAATTGCCTGTGTCTGCATGTGAGTATGCTTACTGTATAATTAAATGTTTTACCCTGAAATGACCAATATTTTATATTAGAAAAAGCAATATATATATATATGTATATATATATATATATTACTCAATCATCTGTCATGGAAAGACATAGCCTTACATATTACACGCGACAATATATGGCGCAGTGACTTATGGGGCTGGCACAATTTTTTTTTTCCAGGGCTGCTTTGTATCCCCAGTCCGGCCCTGGTACGTGGAGGCTGCCTGTAATGTGTACGTGGAGGCTGCCTGTGGTGTTGTATGTGTTTGGAAGCTTCTTACGAGGTAGCACGTGTGACGGATGTTGCTTTTGATGGTGTGTGTGTGTGTGTGTAGGAAGTTTATGCAGTATTCAGGTCGGCACTACCATAAGGCGGCACAGGCGGCCAAATACCAAATATCCGGATGAATGGCAGGAGAGAAGTGCACAGCCTTCTGTAGCGTGGCCGAGCGCCAGTACCTCAGCTGGCTAGTGCAGAAGGAGGGTGTCAGAAAGGAAGCTCTACACTATGTCCACATTTCCTCATACGCCCTGTAGAGGGAGCCGGAAGGTGACATCATATTCCGACTCACAGGCACCATTGCGGAGCACACAAGGTAGCTATATGGAAAATGCGGACATAGAGTGGAACTCCCTCAGAGACAGCCCACTGCACCCCAGTTCAGCAGAAAGTAGGTAGGGGGAAGGGGGAGGGAGTGTGTCTCTAAGCCCCACTCCTCAACAATATTGTCCCCTCCTTCCCACCATAGCCCCAGTCTTCCACACTGCTGCCCCGATCCAGTTCCTACCCCCCATGATGCTGCCTCCCAATACTGTTCCTACCCCACATAACCCCAGTCCTCCACAATGCTGCCCTGCTGCCCCCCAATACTGTCCCTACCCCCCATGATGCTGCCCTGCTTCCTCCAAATACAGTTCGTAGCCCCCATAACCCCAGTCCCCTACAATGCTGCCCTGCTGCCCCCCATTACTGCCCCTACCCTGCCACCACAGAATTTGTTGGCACTACATATATTATAATAATAATAAAGTCCCCTTCCCACACTATTCTGCCCCTATCCCCCACACTAAAGCACAGTGACACAGGAAGGGGGTGGTGGGCAAGTAAGAGACACAGGGTAGTGTATGACACACTAAAGGGGTGATATAATACACTAAAGGGGGTGTAACACACTCACAAAGGTGTAAGACATTCAAGAGAAGATATATAACACTAAAGGGGGGAA